ACATACTACTCTCGTTGTACTATGCCAATTTCCATTCCCACATAAAGTACGGGATTTTGAATTGGGGCAATTGTGCTCATGTGAATAGAGTACTGGTTCTTCAGAAGTATGCAATTCGAATTCTTGCTAGTGTCGATATGAGAACAAGTTGCAGAGCATATTTCAGAACTGCCAACATCCTAACCGTAGTCAGTTTATACATACTAGAAGTTTGTTTATACGTTTATAAAAATAAAAACATGTTTTTGAATACTGTTGAGAAGCACGATCATAATACACGCTTTAAAAGCCACCTCCAACCTGAGAGACACCGGACTACGTTGTACCAGAAAAGTTTTCATTATACTGGTTGTAAACTATATAACTAACTCTCTTGATGAACAACTTAAGAGCTCCAAAAACTTGAATATATTTAAAGAGAGGCTTAAACAACAGCTAATTCAAAAGGCCTGCTATACGCTGGATGAGTATTTTATGTAATTCTATGTAATGTTAGTAACGTGATGAATATATTGTATTTAATTGTGATGCTGTCACATTGTTTGTTTGTTATATTTTTTCTTTTTTTTTGACGTACTTTACTGTTTCATGTTATACATTTAACAGAAAATAAAAATTATTATTATTATTATTATTATTATTATTATTCCTGCCTACGCCTCTGGACACTTCTAATGTCACACAAAATGCATGTCATCAACGCGTTCCGCTGGATGCAAAAACACAGAAACTTACTAAACGATGCGATCATCCGCACTCAACTCAATAATTACAACAACTATGTGGTCGAAACCTAGTGAAAATTTCCTCAGCGTAAATATTCAGTTGATTATGCTGCCCTTCGCTGATGGTCGTAGTACAAGAAAACGCACTATTGAAATCATTAGCGAGAAAGTCGAAGATAATGGAAACTGAAAGGCCTGTATAATATATTCCAAACTGGATGTCGAAATTCACTGAAATCAATTCACGAAACTATTATTGATGCCTCGATTGATGCATTATCACTTTCATTGTATCTTATTTGCCTAATCTAGAAAACATTCTACCTACACCTTCTAAAAATATAAGACAACATTGTTTATCACCACTTCCGGTTTCATGGGAAATTACCGAATAACTTAACAAATTTGAATGAAAATTTCACACCCTACATTTTCGACCAATCAAAAGCCTGTATTCTGTATCACTACCATATAGCAACTAAACAAATTTTTGGAAATTGTTTCCTCCTTGGGGGAAGTAGCGTGAAATAATACTGGAAATTTTTGACGTTTATAAGTTATTAAGAATTAATTCTATAAGTTGATAAGTTCTATGTAAGAAAATATATATTTCAACCGACTTTGGCTGAATGAATTTTTGAAGAACTTAGTGATTGAGCTACTATCGACTTATTTTTAATTATTCCATTTAACTAAAGTCGTTTAATCACATTTCATTCAACCTAATAATATTAAGTGAGCAAATTTCATTGATGATACTAAATAGTACCTACCTACTCCGAGTTTCTTGCGAAAACATTGTGAAAAACTGAGAAATTGAGCTACTATCAATTTATTTTTCATTATTTTGTGTAACTAAAGTAAGTTAATTATATTTTATTTAACCTAACAATGTTATGGGTATGAATTATATTGATACTACATCCTGATGAGTTCATTATAAAAAAATATATTCATTCTCACTTTAGTGGAATAAAGTATGAGTCAAGAATAATAGTTTAAACTACCACCAGCTGCCTTATTGATATTTTGGGTATGTCGATATGTGTAATATTATCCTCTTCAATTTGGAAAAATGATTTTTTGTAGTTTGTCACGCTTCGAGAGATCACTCAGTGAAACGTCTCATAAGGAACGTGAAAATGCGTAATGAAATAATTTTTATTTCCTCTTATAATTTTTATTGCCTCTTATATAGCGCAAAAATTTTATTATCTGTGTGAAATTTTGTTGATTTATCTCAAACCATTTCGAACTTTCCATCAAAAAACAATATTCAGACTCGTTTTTTCAACACCCTATATCTGAAAACGACGCGTTTAAAAGTATATGTTTATATGAACTTTTTTTATTATTTCAACAAAAACAACACACTGTTGAATTTTTTGTATCATGTACCGGACCACCCTGTATATACCTAGTGAAAATTAGTCCATGAGAAAGGTTTTATCTCGGCTCATTTTATAGAGTATATAAGTATCTTCTAAAAAGCGTAATGGACATTGTTCTCATTGAACAATTGATCAATTTATATTATTTGTATTGATGATTGTTTCAGAGTATCGCATTTATTGTATTTTCTCATCAGAGAGAAATTGTTTCAGTGTAAAAAATCACGATGGTCATAAATGGTTATCGGAGTATTTCCACAATTCCACCATCAAATAATTTTTGAAACTTCAAATCACGCTTCAAACAGTGCAGTATTGAAAGAGTCGAGATGTTCTCAGCATTTTTATTTTTTCTTGATAAGGGGTTTCAGACTCGGTTTCAGACTATGCAATTTTTATCTCAAATAACATTTTATAAGAAATTCGAAATTTTCAACTCTTGTTACAAAGATTTGGAACCTCACAGTGGGAAGTTTCAATTTTATCAAGACATTCATCATTCTCTCTCGATAAGTATCTAGGTTTCCAATGCAGTAATCGTTCTGATCATTATTGCGTTCCAAATAATCCCGCAAACATGTAGGTATATGTATATTATGACCGATTGTGAAATATAATAATAATGATTTAAAGGTCTCGCTCGGTCTCGATATAAGTAGGTATAAAGTTAGAGATGAATGTGTTTGTTTCGAATTACATTATTGTTATTTATCACAGCACAAATTCCACAACGAACGAGCATTATAGTTATCAGGTACCAAGTTAAAAAAAATAAGACATTTTTCTAAGCGGAGCTGTATAAAATTAAGGAAGTGCTGGGGCAAAAATTGTCTTCACTATACCGCGGTTTATATAAACTGATCGAAAAAAAATCAAGAATACATATTTTCAATATATCCTCAACTTTCTTAGATCATTTTATTAGTTGAGTAGGTACTTGCTTACTTTTTTTTCTGAGACGGGAGAAAAGTTCGAAATTTCATCTCTGTTGCCATCTCGGTTGCCATGCAGGATATAAAATGTCACTTTTCATAAATTACTTTTTTCCCACGGGAAAAAAGTGAGTATTTTCTTCCCGGATATATATATATTATATACGAGGTTATATATTTATATATACACTGTTGATGGCTTTTGCTATGCTATAGTTTCGAAAAATAAGCCAATAACACCGTCTTCGAGAAAGAACTGTTAGTCCTTTTCTATCTTCCATTCAACTTCGCAGGTACTTAAATTACTAAACAACCACTAAATTCGCTATTTTTTAAAATCAAATCACGGAATCAGACTGACAGATATTTAATTACTTCAAAAGATTGATAAAGATGCCTGCAGCCTGGTTTTTCCACATTCACATTATCGAATTCGTGTTTTTGAGACAAAAATATGTAGGTACACAAAAAAATTTGGTAAAACTGCGATGTTTTTTTTGGAAAAATTAATTGGTACTTACGTATTTTTGTCTGAAAAACACGAATTTGATAATGAATATGTGAACAAACTATTATTTATCAAGATATTTCACTATAAAGTTACAAATTTCACCTTCTTTTCCGCCTGTCTTCTGGATCGCATTTAGAACAATTTGCCCTTATTTTTTCATGATTGGACAATTTATATATATCACAATGTACGACACATTTTTTTCTATTATATTAGTCAAGTAGAAATATGATTTTCTTGTGATTTATCAATATTTAGTGAAAAGAAGGAAGAATATCATTTGAAATGATGGCGTGTGTAATGTCATTCCAAAGCAATCTATTGACATTTGACATCTCGTATTTGGATTGACTATTGATTAAATGGCCGTCATCTGGTATGCTTGTTCACTAAATATGAAAAACTCGCCATAAAAATCACATTTCCTGTCGAATTTTCTAAATAAAAATGTGTCATTGAAGTACATCATGAGTATATATGAAGTGTCTGTCCAATGTCAAAATAAGAAGAGCAAGTAGCTGTAAATGTCCTCAACACAAGGGGAGAAAAAAGGCAAAATTTCGAACATTTTCTTCAAATATCTCGATAAATAGTGGTTTGTTCACATTTTCATTATCAAATTCGTATTTTTCAGACAAAAATACGTAAGTACCAAAAAAAAATTCGAATGAAAAAACATCGCATGATAAATGCAATTTTACCTTAAATAATTCTGAATACGTTACTGGGTCAAATGGATGTAGCAAAAAATGGATAAAATAAAATACACCCCGATCTACTCACTTATAACATATAAACATTATTTCAGAAATTATTGAGGAGAATGTAGATCTATAATTCCCAGAATATCATGGTAAAAAAGAGCCATCAACAACGACAAAAAATAAACAGAGTTAAGTTACTTCAATGTTGCCAAATTGAAATCGGTTCAGTAGATACTTTTCAGGGCTTCGAAAACACTTTCACACATGGCGAAAGTTCTCACGGAAATTAATTTTGGCGTAAAGGAGCGTATTCACCAAATTTTCAAAACACCAAATGAATCTTGGGTAATATGGTTTGGTAAGTCGATGCCATTCAAATAATACTTACTCGAAATAATATAAAAGAAAATTACTTAGTCAAATATGGTTTGGACTACATGAAATAGATAGTTCTTATGCTATCTGGAATAAAATCGAATTGATGGGAAGTTCGAAATTAATGCAATGTCTTCCAATATGAACTTGGGATTGTGCCTTCAAGCACCACAGAGTCCAAGGACACAAGATTTTGGGTAGGTCTTGTCATACCTAAAGTTTTTCTGAATGTCTTCTGATGCCTGAGGTTTTTCATCTGCATTCATAATATCGAAACCGAGACACAAGGACATACCCACGACAATATTGAAATTGCACCCCAAAAAGTTGTCGATTAAAAAATATGAAATCCATCAACATACCGAATGGATCTTATCCATAATCTCCGTGATCTGTTCCTTGCTGCACATTTTCACCAGTTTCCAAGTCCCGAAAACACAACAAACCACACAAACTGATACCGGCTACTGATCTAAAAAACCCGAGAAATTCCCTCACATGTCAACAAATACAACAAAAAGCACGCCGCCGCGTGCGCCCACTAGATATTCAGCGAAATTCAATATTTTTACTGGCAAATCGATCGCATCCGAATCGAACGGGGCACCGCGATACAACAGGTGAAGGCAAAGCCAACTTCTCTCTTCGCGAGCAGATTGCGTTCTCTTGTCGTCCGTCCATAGATCTTCTACCTACCTGCATCGATATCGACAGGTGTAGCGAAGGGGTGGGCGAAGGTAAACTGAGCCGGTAGGTAATCCGCTAACCCGCTGATATCACACGTTGAGAACAATAATAGTGTGATATTGAAAAGAAATATTCTCAGATATATTTATAAACACATGGATATACAGTCTGTCCAAGATAAGGTTGAACAGCATGGGGATCTCGGAAACGGTAGGAGATACGAAGTCGCTTAAATGGGGAAGAAGTTGCGCATTCGGAGGCTCATATCAAGGCCTTCGAAAATTTTGAAAATTATTTTTAGTTTTTGAGTTATATCGAAAAAAGTGAATTTTTGGAATATCTATTTTATTTTTTTTCTCCGTTATTATTAGAGATACAGAAAAACTGAAAATACTTTTTCATTGCAACTTTTGATGAGGTTTAACGTGGTGATACCGATTTTTTTATTCGACGTTTCGTATTCGTGGAACCATCATCAACTTTTGTTTTTTATATGCGGTCCTGATAGTTTTTTCACAGATTCTGAAAGGCTTTTTTATTCTGAATTCAACAATGTACTATACAAGGTGATTCGAATGTGTTTCGACCTATTTCTATCCATCATCAATGTTTTTTCGAACTTCCAAAAGAAAAAAAGCCATCAGTTCCACTTATTTCTTCATTCAGTGTCAAACTTGATGGATTAGTTATTCAATACTGAAAAGTGAATAAAAAATATTTCACTACATCATTCGATCAATGCAGCGTTTAAAATTGTTGATGAATTCTTACACGAATTACTTTAACAACTTAACTTTGACAATACCTACAGAGACATTCATAACAAATGTTCAAAATGATAACCATTATTTTCTGAACAAAGATATCCTCTTCTCACAGTTGTTTGTGAGACATTGCTAAGCATTTCTGGGGTTATTCTATTGAATGCTTCGAAGACACTGTCCCTTAGTTCTTCTTCATCCTCAAAGTTATTTGCGAAAAAATCCAGCTGTGTCAAATCAGGCGACTGCGCCGGCCAAGGGATAAAAACGCACGGACTTCTCTGGAATTATGTACCGGAGCGCCATCTTGTTGAAACCAACAGAGTTCTGAACTTCCGCAATCGGTAAATCATCCAGAGCTTCCTCAAGATGATTCTCAAGCGAATTTCTATAACGTTCGGAAGTCTGTGTTTCATGGTAAATAGAAGGAACAATAATTCGTGTACCAAATATTGCAACCCACATATTAAAGCCGAAACGGTGTTGGTGTCTCGCTGTAATGTATAAATGTTCATTTTCTCGTGAACAATAATGTGTATTTTTTCTATCGAAGCTACCATGATTAGTGACCATGCTTTCATCAGTCCAGATGATTGTTCGAAATAAACCTGCAAAATTTTAACATTTCCTGGTATACCACTCACAGAATGTCTTGCGCCTTTCGTCATCGCCTGGTTTTAGCGCTTGACATATTCTGAATTTGTATGGATGGAATTTTTGTTTCCGCAAAATGAAATGGGTTGTTGATTGAAACCAGTTGATGAGGTATTAGTGTGTTGACTAATTTTCCTTCAAAATAAGTGGAACTGATGGCATTTTTCCTTTGGAGTTTCGAAAAAACATTGATGATGGCCAAAAATAGGTCGAAACACAAATGAACCACCTTGCATAATACATGGTTGAATGCAGAATAAAAAAACCTTTTAGAATTTGTGAAAAAATTATCAGGACCGTATTTAAAAAACAAAAGTTGATGATGGTTCCACGAATACGAAACGTCGCATGAAAAAATCGGTATCACCACGTTGACCGTCATCAAAAGTTGCTATGAAAAAGTATTCTCAGTTTTGCTGTATCTCTCATAATAACGGAGAAAAAAAATAAAATAGAAATTCCAAAAATTCACTTTTTTCGATATAACTCAAAAACTAAAAATAATTTTCAAAATTTTCGAAGGCTCTTGATATGAGCCTCCGAATGCGCAACTTTTTCCCCATTTAACCGATTTCGTATCTCTTACCGTTTTCGAGATCCCCATGCTGTTCAACCTTATTAGTAGAGTAAATAGACTGGCAAAAGGCTTCTAGAAAAGATTTTCGTGGGCACTTTGTTGCTAAAATGTAAAACCCATTTTTTATCATTCCTAAGACCTTTGCAATGCAAAATCACTTGGTCGTCCAAAAATCGTAGTAGGAGGGGAGTGGGGGGAGCCTTTTTTAAAAAAAAAGACAATTTTTTTTTTCATCGGTTTTCAGATCTAAGATTTGAGATAATTCATTCCTCAAATTTGTATACCCATCCGGATATAAGAAATATTTTTTTTCAATTTATAAAAATACGTCGCAGCATTGTTGTATATGGAGCGCCTTCACACAAAACCGCTTGCCCTGCACACCCATATTTTTAAAATCATTTAACTCGCTCTACCTCGAAAAGTATTGGGTCTAGCAAAAAAAGGTTTTCTATAAACGTTAAAGACCAAACATCAGAGAACATGTTGGGCTTTTTAGAATTTTGATTGGATAATTGGTTCACGAGAAAATTAAATAAATCGAACGGCATGTCGCGATGAACAGCGGCGACCGCAGAGACATGAGGAAGGGCGAGATTGCTATGCCTAAGTCAACCGAAAATCCACTCTACTGATGGCGATGTTGGTACGGTCGATTTTACCGTGACTTCACTGTTTTCTTGTAAATTCGAATGCATTGTTCTGGTAGCGCGGATTCCACTGAGATTACTAGTGATGAGTGATAAAGTTCTTGTCTATAAATCATATTATTAAAAGCGAATAATAACTTATTGGTAAGTTAACAATATTTAGAACTTACTTAGTGAGTATTAGGTACAGTTAATATTTTTTTGTATCCTCTAGAAATGGATTTAACGAACAGCAGCAGCTCTGACAGTGAACTTGAGTCGAAAATCAAATTAAGACGTGCTTCTTTTCGTAAAACTGACAATGGACAAGACGTTTTTATTCAAAATGTGTGTCTTATTTGTTTGGAAGGAGGAAAGCTGGTTATCTCTCATGAAAAATAAAAAAAACTATCATTGAATGCACGAAAGAACGTATGACAAATTGTCATGATGACAAATATATGCGGCATATATTCTCAAAGTTTGATGATCTAGAAAATCGAAGTTTTTTAAAATGGCACAAAAACTGTTATAAATCGTATACGAGCTCAAAGAACATTGTCTCGTACAAGTCAAAAAATAACAAACTGACAGCTGATTTTCCAGCAGATTTTTGTAGAGCAGATATTTTTCAAAAACGTCCCTTGCGGACACCTTTTTGATTCAAAAAAGTGCGTATTTTGTCAGAAGCGATCACAGTATCAAAAACTAAGCCAAGTTATGACTCATAATATTATGCAAGAAAAAATAAGAACAATATCACGAAGTAACCCTGTGTTTTTTGCGAGAACTGGAGACAACGACTTAATTGCCTCGGAAATAAAATATCATGCCGCTTGCGTTTCAACAGAATTACGCAATCTCAATGAAAAATCGGTTGGAAATACTAATATTGAAAAAACAGAGAAACTTTTTGAGGAAATGAAGAAGGGTTTGAAAAAAGGTAAAGGATACAGCACAAAATCAATTGGCAAAAGATATCGTGAAATTATAGTGGCATTGACGACATGAGTGAGAAACAAATAGTGAAAAAAATTAAATACCATTTTGGGGATGATGTTGAGTCAATAAGGTCTCCTAGACAAAACGAGCCCACAATATTCTTGAAGAAGTTTTCAAAAGAACAGGCAATTGAGACAATCGTGCAAAAGTTTGAGTTTCTTTTTCATTCTCGCACTTTCATTGCGGACAATAAGGTTAACAAGGTAGTACAAGCTTTCAGGAATATACTTTTTGTAGTCTCTATATAACATTAATTTTTTAAAAATCGGACTCAGTCGACATCTTCTTCATCTCACCTCGGACAGTTTGGCAGATTTTTACTAGAATGTGTTGCTCCGATGCACCAAAACTGAAACTAGGACCGACAGATTCGTCGTGGTTTTGCACGATTGTCTCAATTGCCTGTTCTTCCGAAAACTTCCTCAAGAATATTGTGGGCGCGTTTTGCCTAGGAGACCTTATTGACTCAACATCATCCTCAAAATGGTATTTAATTTTTTTATTATTTGTTTCTCACTCATGTTGTCAATGCCACTAATTTCACGATATCTTTTGCCAATTGATTTTGTGCAGTATCCTTTACCTTTTTTCAAACCCTTCTTCATTTCCTCAAAAAGTTTTTTCAATATTAGTATTTCCAACCGATTTTTCATTGAGATTGCGTAATTCTGTTGAAACGCAAGCGGCATGATATTTTATTTCCGAGGCAATTAAGTCGTTGTCTCCAGTTCTCGCAAAAAACACAGGGTTACTTCGTGATATTGTTCTTATTTTTTCTTGCATAATATTATGAGTCATAACTTGGCTTAGTTTTTGATACTGTGATCGCTTCTGACAAAATACGCACTTTTTTGAATCAAAAAGGTGTCCGCAAGGGACGTTTTTGAAAAATATCTGCTCTACAAAAATCTGCTGGAAAATCAGCTGTCAGTTTGTAATTTTTTGACTTGTACGAGACAATGTTCTTTGAGCTCGTATACGATTTATAACAGTTTTTGTGCCATTTTAGGAAACTTCGATTTTCTAGATCATCAAACTTTGAGAATATATGCCGCATATATTTGTCATCATGACAATTTGTCATACGTTCTTTCGTGCATTCAATGAAAGTTTTTTTTTTATTTTTCATGAGAGATAACCAGCTTTCCTCCTTCCAAACAAGTAAGACACACATTTTGAATAAAAACGTCTTGTCCATTGTAAGTTTTACGAAAAGAAGAACGTCTTAATTTGATTTTCGACTCAATTTCACTGTCAGAGTTGCTGCTGTTCGTTAAATCCATTTCTAGAGGATACAAAAAAATAGTAACTGTACCTAATACTCACTAAGTAAGTTCTAAATATTGTTAACTTA